TCCTAAAGAGAAAAACTCATTACTAACGGTGTCAAACTTTATTTGTATCTCAACAAAAAGAGGTACTAATGTAATAGCCGAAAATAAACATCTACTTTGCATTTTAATTTTAACTTAAAATTATAAAGAAAAATAAAATAAAATAAAATATCATTGACAAAGCGATTTAATTCTTAATACAAATATTGGTTATAACAAATGATTCCCTCACTATATGAAGTTGTAACTTGCAACCTTTACAGGGTGTTTGGTACACATAAAATTTTTACTTTTTTGGAAATTTAACGTTGGAAATGTTTGGTTTGTTATTTAAAAATAATATTTTTAGGAAATATTGTTTTTTGGGAACAACTTTTATACTTGTTTCCACAAATTATTTCCACAAGAAGGTGAGAAACTAACATTTTCAAGTTGAAAATAAAGTTTTAATGTGAAAAAATATCATGTTACCTTTATTTGCTTATTCAATATACTAAAAATATTAAAATTCTAGATAAGATTTATAAATATTCTCATAAATATTAAATAGAATTTATCATTTTTAAGGGTTATGATTCTCAAAATTTATAATTTTTATGAATCATATTTTCAAGTTTGAAAAAATTTATCATATATTAAACGAGTGTAGGAAAGTATTTTCTCTATTAAATTAAATTTTACATTGTTCTGTCCATGCTTAATAGTTAAGGTGTATGTTGTTAAAAAAAAAAGATAGTTAAGGTGTATAGTGTGACACCCTCTACCCCGTTATTAATATACAACAAATATGTAGTTGAGTTTCATGCACTAGTTGTACTAGCTAATTTTTTTTTATAGAGGTATCCTTAATTCCAAGCACAATCTGTCAAGCTTAGAACCAATTGCAGCCACTCAACCATAATTCATTTCAATAGATCTAGTTTCATTATCATCTATAGCCCTTGCATGGACCCAATGGAAGTAACTACAATTTTCATCACTTTCATGCAATGGTCAACACAAGTAGAGCATAAAAAACCAAACCCAAAGTTTAAATATCAAAAGACAAAACATTAACAAAGGATTGCAGCAAACCTTTGGCCTTGAACATGTGTAGAATAATTGACTAGGGTTCTTCACAGTTTTAGATGTGCTAATGACTACCCTTCTGCCACAATAACAAAAACCAAAATTTGATCCATGGTTTTATTCACTACCAACATGCCTTAAAGAAGAAGAATTGCCCTAAGAATAAACTATGTTTGAAGCCAACCATCATCCTCCCCACCACCCATCTCTAGCTTCACAAAAAGAAAGATTAAACCCTATAAACCAAATGACACCCTTAAAATAGCAACATAGGAAATTTTTTTATCATTTGAAGTTATTACTTTCAAACTAATCCCTCTTAAATATCAACATAAATGACACAACTTTTACTTTTTTTAGTTACCACATCATCATATAACTAGCCACATATGCAACTATAGTATATTTAATAAAGTATATATGATAAAGGACGGCTAAAACCCTAATTTGATCCTTTATAATATTATAAAATTTTAATTTAGTCCCACTTGTAAAAAATATCTTCAATGTTTGTCTTCCGTCTAAATTTTACACACACCATTTAGGGAGTTTCCACGTGGCGTTGAATGGGTTTGCTAACGTGTTAAATGAGAGCCACGTTGGCTTTCCTTTCTCTTTGTTGTCACTCTCCCCATCTCCCTCATCATCCACTTCTTCGTCTTTACCTCCTCCCTCTCTCCCCACAACCCCAAAACCTGGTTCCTCACCCTCCCCACCCCCTCTCTGCCACCACCACTCCCAGGGCAGCACTAACCTTGTTCCTCAACGCATCCAAATCCTCACCACCAACCCTCTTGGAACATCTTAAACCCACAACGCATAAACAAATGAAACCCCCAACATCACCTCCCTCACCAGCGGCACCTCCACCATAGATGAAGAAAAACGCATGTCGAAATAGAAAAAATGAGACGAATCACACAAATCAAGCTACAAGACGAAGGTGAAGCCACCTATCGCCGTAGAAAGTCTCGTTAGGGATTCTTCTCGACGTTCGCAGCATCTCGAATTAGTTTCACCATCCTCAAAATTCGCAATCGGCAAAGAGCCAAAAGATTCAATTCTGACACCCTAGTCCTCTGGTGGAGTCCGCTTCGTCAGAGGGAGACGCGTCGTCACCGACGTCGAGCGACAATTTTCTGTCGAAGAGATTGGAGTGGAAGAGGCGACAGGTGATGAGCTCGAAGGGCGTCGCGAAAGGAATGAACAGTCGGGAAGGTGATGGGTTGGAGAAGTTTGGGGTCTATTTTTAATTTGGGGAGTAATGGTGGCGAAGGGGGCGGAGAGGGTGAGGACTAGGTTTTGGGGTTGTGGGGAGTGAGGGAGGAGGTGAAAAGGAAGAAGAGGATGATGAGGGAGATGAAAATTGGGAAGTAGAACCAGAAAAAGAAAGGAAAGCCAATGTGGCTCTCATTTAAAACGTCAGCAAACCCATTCAAGGCCATGTGAGCACTCCCTAAACGGCGTGTGTGAAATTTAGATGGAAGGTAAAAATTGCAAACATTTTTTACAAGTGGGACTAAATTGAATCAAAAAATTAAACTGGGACTAAATTGAAAATTTATATTATTAATTATAAGGGATCAAATTAGGGACTAGCTAATTTTTTTTTATAGAGGTATCCTTAATTCCAAGCACAATCTGTCAAGCTTAGAACCAATTGCAGCCACTCAACCATAATTCATTTCAATAGATCTAGTTTCATTATCATCTATAGCCCTTGATAGAAAGGTAGAGGGAATGTTAACTCTCGTGAATAGAGGCTAGTTTGTTTTGAAAGATAATTAAAGTTAACAGTGGCGAAGCTTTGTTGGAGTGGGAGGAGGCCATGGCTCCCAACTTGTGAATAGTCTTTCTCCACTCCATTTTCAAGCTAATTTGTGTGGAAATAAAAAAAAATGTGAGGCTCATCATCCTTTTATTTCTTACATCTTTTATCAACTAAATCATTGATCTTTATTCTCTCTCTCTCTATTATTTCTCACTTATTTTTTTTAATCAAACAAGATATATATATTTTTTAATTTCTTATCTATTTTAATATATATATATATATAAATATAAATATTTAAATTAATATTTATAAAATAAATTATTAATAATAAAAAATAATCTTGTATTACAATATAAATTATTTTTCAAAAATATATAATATAAATTATATGTTAAAAAATATTTATTCATATAAAATTTAAATTAGTATAATTTATATATCAAAATATATAATATTTATTTATATAATTTAATTATTATAAATTTTATTTATATATTTATGTATGATGAACAATTTTTCTAACATCTAAATTCCTATCATTTAAATTACAAAATTTTGCTGTATCAAAACTAATTATGAAATTTTAAAACTTTTAAAATTCCACAAAAAAAAAAAAAACTTTCCTAGATTTTTACCAATTAAACCTTTGAGTATATAAAAATATTAAATTTTAGAAAACTAAATTTGTTAGCGTTACATCTAACATGGCATTAATTTGCAGAGATCAGCAAATGATAAAATATTTAAATACTTAAAAATAAATGCATTAAAGTCAGGAAAAGTCTTTTTAAAAAATACTTTGTACTCTTTTCTTTCATTAACTTATACAAATTAATTAATACCTTATTACATCTCTATTTTGTTTCCATTATTTGTATTTTATTATGAAAAATGAATTAAAATATAATTGATACAACAAAAATATTTATTCATTACAAATTTTAATTATAATGTAATTTATATATTTAATAATATTTAGTGAGCATGGAAAGAGGGAGAGGCATAAAATAAGGCAACAAAGATATTGTCAAAATGACAAGAGCAGACAAAATGCAATAGAAATCCAGAAAACAGTGTTCGTTTACTGACTTAATTCTCTGTTTGTCTTATTTCCTTGTTTGATTCTTCCCTAACGTTGGTAGTCCCTTTCATTTTGCGGCCAGGGGTTGAAACTTGTGAGTTTGATGAGAAGGTGAATGTGAATAATACATTTTATGACACATTCTTCATATTTAATTATCTATAGTATAGACTATAGTATAATTTAATCAAATATTTTTACCCTTACTTTACATAAAAGAAAGGCAAGGCCATTCATTTCCACAGACTCACAGACGTGTTCAACTTGTCTTATGATTCCAAACCAAACAGGGCCCACACGTGTAGAGTTGTCCTTGTTGACTCATCAACTTTTAATATATAGTAATAGCATATGATAAATAAATATACCAATAACAGTCCACATAGCCTTTCTGGTGACGAGAAAAACCTGCACGGATCCAATCCAGCATTTGTTTGGTTGGTGACAAGCAAAGGAAAAAGAGTTTTTTTTTTTAATATTAGAATTTTAATGTTTAATTTAATTTTTTAAAAATAAAATAAAATATTTAAAGTCTAACGTCTAAAATATCTTAATTTATATTTTAAATTCAAAATATAAAAGTAGATTAATTTTTTTAAAATTATTTCTTCTAGTAAACCAAAAAAGCATAAATATATCTCTCTCTTCTCCATTTATTAAAATTCGTTCTCTCTCCTCATATTAATCAAACTGTAAACTCTTTTTTTTTTCTTTTTTCTTTTTCCAAATTCCTCTTCTCTCATCTTTGAAACAATATATCTTTTAAAGTCTTTCAAATGTTTTTATCCCTTTTTATGATTACTTGTTTAATTAACTGATTTATTAGAAGATAATTAATTAAATTAGATAGTAATTTTAAAATTATTTAATTTTCAGTATTTAATATTATTAAAATATTAATCGTGAGATATTATTTTTGATTTACATGTGATTGATGTGAAATATTTATCAAGTGTTTTATCTTTATTAATAAACTGTTAAGATTTTAAAAGACTCTAGTTTCACGTTAAATACGAGTTTACCAATAATTTCTCTCCATACATGAGACATTATTGATCTATTCTTATAAAAAGTAGCGAGTAATCTTTTAACACAATGCAATTTGTGAATAGATACACTTTCAAAACCATGCAATAAAAAACATTTTTAACTATTTAGAACAAAAATTTTCAAGAACCACGTATGATTCAGATTGGAGCAAGTCTGAGTCTTCGACCTGTTGAGTAAGAAGTAGTAGCAAAGAAGAGAAATGGAGAGAGAACACCAAAACCAAAGTTCACCTCTTCAGTCACCATTGATTCAGCACTCAAACTCAGGGCAAGATGGACTCGTAGTTAAAGAAAAGCAAAGAAGTTGGAGGGGAATTGTGCGAAGTGAAGTTGTTGAAGAAGTGAAAAAACAGCTATGGCTTGCAGGGCCTTTGATTTCAGTGACCCTTTTAAATTATTCTCTAACTGTTATATCTGTCATGTTTGTGGGGCATCTAGGCGAGTTGGCTCTTTCTGGTGCTTCCATGGCCACTTCTTTTGCCAGTGTCACAGGTTTCAGTTTATTGGTGAGTTACTTCTGTTATCCTTAGTTCCTTACCTTACCTTTCAACTTCATATTTATTATAGCCAATTGGATTCTCAGTTTTCTTCTGTTGTTAATAAGAGACAGTTTAATTATGAGCGCTAGCTACTGATTTTATCACTTTGTTTGTACTATGTACTAAAATGTCACCCATTAATTAAAAAAAACATTATAAAGGGAATATATTTTTAGTGTGGACAAAATGAAATCTTTCCATGAGAACAATCAGGGGAAACTCGTGTCTATAATTCCAAAAGCTTGAACTGATAGGTGAAATCAAATAAATGACTCTAAAACTTGGGAAGGATTACTGGGGGTTTGATATGGAAGAGAAAGTCAACATTAGTAGCTCAATACAATTTTTCATTTCCTAACTTCTGTGAAGCAGAATGAAATTAACAATTTGGTATGGGAAGTATAGTAGTAATTATTCACTTATTTTTTGTAAATCATTAAGTGCGTGTTTTGGAAAACCTTGCATCGGTATAAACGGAGATTCCCATTTTTCAAAACATAAAAATAAAAAGTAACAATTTGTTACTTTTCCTTTGAACTGCACTTGGGGTTATTTTGTAATATTTGTCTGAAAGAATATTTATACGAGATTTCTTCTCTTATTTTATCGGGACTTATTTATATCCTAATAATTCTCTCTTCAAATAAGGGATCTAACCTTTTATGATTATCACTTTATAAGATTTATAACTTATTGGTTGTGTGTAAACAATCTTTCCTTCGATATGAGATTTGTTTGTATCTCAACACTTGGATGTTTTAACAATAAACCAAATACATGTAAATGATGCAATGCAGTGCGTCTAAGATGTGGTGTTCAGTTCACTTGTGTGTGATTTTTTCTTAATCTGTTGGTGCAGTTATCCCCTGTATTTAAACCCCCTCGTGCTCTCATGAGAAGTGTCTATGGTTAGCATTACAAACATATCTTGTCAAGGAAATAGTGGATAATGGTTTGCATTACAAACATATCATTTTTCTTTGTTTGGTTTTTTGGTTGACACAGTTAGGAATGGCAAGTGCCTTGGACACCTTTTGTGGGCAGGCATATGGAGCAAAGCAGTATAAGATGTTAGGCATACACATGCAGAGAGCCATGTTGATTCTCATGATTGTCAGCATTCCACTTGCAGTTATTTGGGCAAACACAGGGTCCATTCTTGTTTTCCTTGGCCAGGATCATGAAATAGCTGCAGAAGCTGGGAGCTTTGCTAGGTTTATGCTTCCAAGCCTTTTTGCCTATGGCCTTCTACAATGCCTCAACAGATTTTTACAAACCCAAAATATTGTATTTCCAATGATGTGCAGCTCCGGAATTACCACATTACTGCATGTGCTTTTGTGTTGGTTTATGGTATTCAAGTCTGGACTTGGACATAAAGGAGCTGCACTAGCAAATTCTATATCTTTGTGGTTGAATGTTACTTTACTCTCACTCTATGTCAAGTTTTCTCCTTCATGTGCAAAATCTTGGACAGGCTTTTCCAAAGAGGCACTGCATGACATTCCCACATTCGTGAGGCTTGCCATTCCTTCGGCTGTTATGGTTTGGTAATTACATTCTCAAATATTTTAAGGGTTTAATGATTACGCATTGTTAGTGTAAAAAGTTTTACACTTTCAACCAATTAGGAATCACTGTTATTATGACTTTTAAGATAGTTATTTCTAAAAGTCAATAAACTTACATGCATGATAATTTAGATTGGATGACAATATAAAACTATTTTACATTATCGATGCACAACTTTTTTCTCGTACTTAAACACCACCTCTTACAATAAATCAATATTTACAGTTTTGTTACTTTTGTTAACATTACTCTTTTGAATTATTTTTAAGATCCAAATGTGTTTTCCATTTTTAACCCATTATCTGATTATCATGCTGAGCAGCTTGGAAATGTGGTCATTTGAAATGATGGTTCTCCTTTCTGGTCTTCTTCCAAATCCAAAGTTGGAAACATCAGTGCTTTCCATCTGGTTGGTTCCATATTTGAGATGCTTTTCACATTTATTACACATCCTTGACTTAATTATTAGAGTTTAAATTCTATGTAGAGATGGTTTAAAAAAATTTTACATTGTCAATCCATCAAAAATTATGTGAGGTATGATTTTAAGGTAATTATTGTAAAAATCAACAAACTTATCATACATATCAACTTGTAATTGGACAACTGTGTAAAAATCATTTTATACCATCAGTGCATAGACTATTTTATCTAACTATTATTGTCTCCTCAATTATTACACAACACTTGACATTGTTATTACTTATTACACATGCTTCGTTTTGTCAGCTTGAATACTGCAGCAGTTGTTTGGATGATCCCTTTTGGACTCAGTGGAGCAGGAAGGTTGGTATTTCTTATGAATTCAGTCATATTCGCATCTCTGAGAAATTCTGTTCACTTCCTAATTTGCTTCTTCAAAATTTTCCTTAGTTTTATCAATGTTTGCATGGTTCCTGCAGCATTCGTGTCTCCAATGAACTTGGAGCTGGTCGTCCTTGGACTGCACGTTTAGCAGTGTGTGTTGTCTTAGTAATGGCCATTATTGAGGGCATCTTAGTTGGAACATTGATGATACTTGTGCGCAATATCTGGGGCTATGCATATAGCAATGAAGTAGAAGTAGTCAAATATGTAGCAACTATGTTCCCAATTCTTGCAGCATCCAACTTTCTGGATGGACTCCAATGTGTTCTTTCAGGTTTTTCTTCTCCCATTACATGTTGCCTGCACCGGAGCTATACCTCAAAAACACTGATATAGACTACGATTTTGTTTAGATAAACTTCTTTATAAACACTAACAGGAGAGGAAAATTAGAAGGTAAAATTCATTGAGTTTCTCTATAAGGTAAAATAAACTTATGCACTTAGCTTTTATTTGGAGAAGTCAAATGAAAAGAACCTCTAAAAAAGTTAAATTAGCTTATGTGTAAATTAGTTCAATTCATTTTATCTTATTAATTTCTTCTCCCGAAGTGTTACACTTACAAAGAAGTTTATCCAAATAAAGTCTTAGACATGTCTCGGAACTTCCAATACATCTCTTACAAAAAATGCTGCATGCTAAAAGAATAATGTTGCTATTAAATATTAATTAACACTCAATTGACATGTTGTTACTATAGTATGAGCTAATACCCTGAAAGGAACTTGTGTGAGAAGTAGAAATAGGTGTTTGTGCAGCTTAAACCTTTCAGTCATGTACTTGTAATTGTAAGACTTGATATTCTTTAGTTTTAAACTTATATTGTACATATTGCATAAATATGTGAGACACACTGGCAGTTAATACTTAAACAACCCAATGAACCCATATTTCTACCTCTTGCAGCATTGTCACATAAGCATGAACTAGATGTTGTATAATCTTCTTTCTTTGTTCAACAATAATTCAGGCACTGCTAGAGGATGTGGTTGGCAGAAAATCGGTGCATTTGTCAATTTGGGGTCATACTATTTAGTTGGGATTCCATCAGCTATTGTGTTTGCTTTTGTATTGCATATTGGTGGGAAGGTAAACAAAACCATAGCCTTGATACTAATGTCTGATGGTCAATTTTACAGATTGTCTGATTTTGTTTTATATGCTAACTATTTAGGGGCTCTGGTTGGGGATCATATGTGCACTCATTGTTCAAGTGTGCTCTTTAACGATCATTACTATTCGCACTGATTGGGAGCAAGAGGTGAACTCTAGCATTTTTTAACTTAGTCGCACTTTTTGTCATCTATGTATTTTACAAATTTTGTTTCAAATTTGTACATTTTTTTTTAATCTTTTTAATTGATTATATAATGTCATTAGTTGATCACTAATCACTGATGTGACATATTAACTATTAATGTGACACTGACTTATGATAAAAATTGATAGTGTGATATAATGAGATGTCAAATATGTGAAATTTTAAAATTTGGTTTATAAAATTTGTAAAATTATGAAAATAAGTAAAAAAAAAAAAAGTATAATTAAGTTTTCTTTTTTGTCCTTTCATTCATGTGATGTTGGGTGCTGACGTGCCTTTATTTTTAACTCCTTATTCAGGCAAAGAAAGCTACAGATAGAGTCTATAATTCAGTAACATCAGAGAGCTTGGTCTCATGAAGGCACAATATCTTTGCAGTTGTTCATTCTGAGTTAAAAGCAATAGAAGTTTGGTATTTTACTTTTGGCAGAAAAGTTCTAGGGGCAATTATGTGTGGCCGAAAGATAATAGATGATGCACTTGGCCTTTGGAAGTGAAGAATGTGGTATTTATTTTGTTTTCTATGTATTGGTAGGGAATTTCCCAATGTTTTGTGGAGGGAAAAGAAAAAATGTGAAATTTACATAGTTATTTTTCAGTTTTGTTCATGGCCCCAGTGACTCCATGATTGGTTTAATTACGGGGGTAATTTAGTGACAGTAAACTTATTGTCTCACTAATTAGTTTTTAGTATTTTTATATAAACTTGTATTTTAATTATTTTGTATATTTTCCATCAATCACTTAATAGCTTATTATAAGACTAATTTTGGTCTAGAAGCTAGTATATTAAGTTACATCATCTTGATTTTCTTAACTATCTATTTGTTTTAGTTTAAAAATTATTTTATATTATAATTTAAATTATTTATAATAAATTTACAGGATTAAAAATATATTTAAACATAATTTATATATTAAGAATAAATTTAGTTTTTGATTTTTTTAACATTAATTTCAAGTTAAGAAATTAAATAAAAATTATGAATTTTAAAAGATTTTAAAATAAAAAATATTATACTTTCATCTTTGGAACCTCAATTCTAAGATTTTTACATGTACCACCAACATATTCTTTTTAATTTGAAATGACAGTGAATAATATTATATAACTAAAACCTTCAACAATTTTTTATTAAAAAAAACATTTTCCACCTTCGAAATGATGAATTAAATTGTCAATATATTTGATTAATAATATATAATTATCTCAACTTATCATTTTTAAATATATAATTAATGGTATAAAAAATTAAAATAAAATTTTTAAAAATTATAAAATTAAAAATAATAATTTTATATTTTAAAAATAAATTTAAAAAACTAAAAACATATTTATCCCTTCTAAATATTCTCATCCATATATAAGATTTTTTCGGTGTTGTTGCACATGTTTATCATTATATTCACAAGCTTTTTGTTGAGGTGACTAGATTTTGCCTGGAAAATTTGGATGATATCCGTCTGCAAAGTGCCATAAATGGCAAAAAAAACAGAGACACAGAGCCGTGGATGTCCTCTCACCATGAAACAACAAATCATAGAAGAAAAAAATATTAATTTTAACTTATATTAAAAATAATAATTTATTTTATCAATTTTATAAAAAAAAACTAAAAACTTAATTATTATTTTTAAAAAAATATTATTTTGTTATACAGTTTCATCGCGAAGAATCTACACCTTAGTTAAAAATAATAATTTATTTTATCAATTTTATAAAAAAACTAAAAATTTAATATTATTTTTAGAAAATACCGTTTCATCGCGAAGAATCTACACCTTTCCATTTCTTGGTTTCTATTTCTCGTCTATTATTTTCTTGTGTCCTTTAAATAATTAATTCACTAAAATTAAAAAAAGTTAGTTTTACCTTTTAAATTAAAATATATCTTAAAATTTTATTTCTTTCCAAAAATATCTTAAATTAACGAAATATTATTATATGTTTCTAATATTTTTGTATTTCAAGAAAAAATTAGACTATTTATATTTTAAAAAATATAAATTAAATAAATTTTACTTATTCGTTGAAATAAAAAAAATAGTGTCTTATAAAGAAAGACTAAATTAATTTTAAAATTTAGGTCTTGTAATAAAGAATAAGAGATACTCTTTTTAAATCTATATATAAGTAAAAAATGTGTAATTTTTTTAGACTTAAATATATATATATATATATATATATATATATATAAATATAAATTTTAATTAAATCAATTTTATTTAATATTTTTATCTAAAAATACTCATAAGGTAATAAATGAGAGTATTATTTACAATGGTTAAAGATATTTTAGTAAATATAATTTATATTTTATACGAAATTATGAAAATTAAATACATTTAATTATTTTTCTTAATATATGTGAAATTAGTTTTTTTTCTTCTTATATCTAAATGGAGCAGTATTAAAGTTTTGAGTATATAAATAACATTAATATTTTCATAAGGTTAAAATCAATTTTAGTTTTCTATTAGTTTAAAATAGACATTTTAGTCCTTATATTTATCCTTTTTAATCCTTATAATTCAATATAGATTTTTGTAGTCCTATATTAACCCTTTTAAATCCTTTTTGAGTCCTTGCTTTTAATTTCTTTGTAATGCTGTCTCTATTGTATTGACATGACAAAGGTCTTTAACTTTGTGTTTTTTATGTTAAATTTATTTTGTAAAAATTATTCTAAATTTGACCTCTTAATGCTTCTTGCCTCTTTTTTATTCTTACTTGTGACCCTTATTGTTGAGACACCTATTTTCCAGTTTTTTCATGAGTGACAACCCTTTAATACTCAGTTAGGGACTAAGTATCCGACTTCGTACTTTACTCGATTGGTCATTTATAATCAGTATAGTTTGACCTTATCCCTATACTATGGTCACTTTATACATGTATGTCTCAACCTTTTCCACATATAGATGTCACATAGAATCTAGAGTAGACAACTGATAATAACATATCATTTAGAAGTCAACTTACTTACTGAGAGTTCGACATAGCATATATCTATACAATAAGATATTAAAGTTTGAAAGCATCTTTAACTCTGCTCCAGTTTCTATGTATCTAAAAATAGATATGTATCACAACTACATACTTAACAACTTAACAACTTATCATTGTACATCGTTACATCTTAAACATCATCCAACTTAAATCTTAACCACCCAACAACATAACATCATATCAGCTTACATCTTTTACAACTTAACCATTTATCAACATGAACACCAACTTTCAACATAACAACAATAATAAACACATTATTCAACATATGCAACATATCAATAAATCATCTTTCTCCTTAACAACATTATTATCACCATCCATCATCCATCATACAGTTCATAGATCTTCATTCAATTATAAGACAACTCAAAACATCATACAGTATGTGTCAACATACAACTTATCAAAATTAATTATCATACAATGACAACCTTCACATAACACAACATAATTGAAGTTTCACTAATCTAATCAAACTCATTTTTTTATCTCATATGAAAGATAAAAAATGGTTATCTACAACTCTTATGAAGATCTCAAGTTCTAACTCCATCATCTACTATATTGAAAATCACAAAAAATGCAATAGTTTGCCTAAATACTAACAACTTGACCATTGCTTACTAAAAAGTTTATAACTGAAGTTTTAGACCTCTTATTTAAGTGATTTCAAAGCTATTGGAAAATTAACATTTAGGGCTATAACTTTCATGAAGATCACATAAGTAAATTCATTAATCTACTCACTTAAACGAGTAAATATTTGCTTAGGAGAGATTAGCTTGCTCGGAGCAACCAATAACACTATGAGCGGCCAAAATCTGCTCAAAGCACCCGAAAACTCTCTCGAAGTGACCAAAATTTGCTCTAAATGACCTAATTCAGAGGTCATTTTTAAACAACCACCCAGGCTCACTTGGAGTGACCTATGGGTGCTCTAAGCCACCCAAACCCAAAAAAACATCCATGACTTTGAGAAAAATTAGCAATCTCAAGAACAATTTCAAATCCTCTTATCCCATACCCAAAACATGCATGCAACTCTGAATCTTATGATTATAACAACATGCAACTCAAAATTGAAGAAACTGAGTCATGCATCAATATCACATCAATTTGTCATTATCAAACCTCCTATTCTTCACCAAGAACACCAAAAACACAACATCCACCCCAAGAATATCAAGCATACCAGCAACATATTCAATTTCACCATTAAGAACAACATGCATTCCAATCAAGATAATGACAAATCTTCCCTTACCTCTTGATTATTCGCACGAAATTAAGAGGAGAAGATAACAACTCCAATAAACTCTACACCACTTCTCACTTGGGATTCTTAGCTTTGGGCTTTAAATCACAAGTTTCACAAGATGGATCAATTGCTAGAAGGAGAGATGTGGAGATTTCAAGAGGAGAGGGAAAAAGGAATCTAACTTCCTATGGAGAAAAGATACATACTAGAAGGGGGTTGAATAATGTGTATAAAAAACTCACATGTTTCTCGATGTGTATCACTTTTGTTTTGTATATGTTGCTCTTTTTATCTACAACACAAAATTGTTGTTTGAATGCTTGATCCATTTATAATAGTTTCAGAGAAAATGACTGTTGCAGCAACTTTGAGTTGAACTTTCAATTTGCTTCATGAGTTGTTTCGTCTGTCTTCTTTGCTAATCCTAGAGATTACCGTCGATGCATTTATGCGAGCATTAAATGTCTTTCAACAAAGTATGTATCTTTTATCTGATCTAATAGGCTACTTATCATCATTTCCTTCTAAATCGAGCATGACAAGAGTAATGTCAGCGTATAGTAGTTAAAGTCAATGCAGAACAATCCTTTGTAAAACCTTTTTCGTGATATCTAAGATTTTTCCTTTTGCTATTGACAGATATTTTGTCTTTTTCCTCTTTAACAGATTTTGAGAGGTTTGAGACTTTTTTCGTATTCGATCTATTAGGGATAAAACATTAAATGAAATTTAAGGTTAGTCTCATTTGAAAAGTATTCATTTAATGCATAAAGACAAACTATATGCTTTGTCTGATTTCTTTCATTTTACAAATGATAAATATTTTCACATTTTGTCTGATATAATATATCTTTTGTAGATATTTTGACTTTGTTTAAGAAGAAAATCTTTGTTTATTATTATTAAAACCTGAGAGATTCGAGATCGTTTTTTTTACTAAACCCAAGATCATTTTTTAATTTAACACTTTCACTTCTAAAAACTTTTTTCTAGATATAATAGTTTCTCCTAAAGAAACCTAAAAAAAAATAACTCCTTCTATTGAACCCACTCGCCCACATAAAATCTTAACATGCACATGAACTAGTGCCTAAAAATATGAGTGTTACGGTGTATGTTTTATATTTTATATGAAATCCTAAAAAATAAATATATTTAAATTTTTTTAATAATATGCATGAATTTTGTTTTCTTATTATAAATAGCTCTAAAAGGAATAATATTAAAATTTGAGTGTATAAAAAAATATTTATATTTTCATAATTGATATTTAATATTTTTAATAGCTCAACATTGGAAGAAAAAAAATATAAACTCGTCTTTGGTAGGAAAGAAATTAGCAAGTGAGAAATAAAAAATACATAAAAAAAAGGGTGCAGTCTTACAATTTTTTATTTCTACACAAATCAGTAAAAGATAATATAAAGCACCACACTAACAATAAAATATAAAGGACACTAATAATCCAATAATAAATATAAATAACACTAATAATAAAATGTTAAAAAGATAAAAGTAAAATAATACAATAAAATTAAGAAAAATAAATAAAAAAATTATTACATCAACAATATGATAGTCAAGAATATAAAATTAGTAGAATAATAATATCGTAAAAATAAAATAATTATAATACAAATCACATATAATAATAAGTTATCATTCTAATATTAAAAACAACAAAATTATTATTATAAAAGTAATAAAAATAAAAATATTATCTTAAAGATGCAAGGTTTTTTAAATTGCCAAGATATAAAAGTACATTATTTAAATCAAAATACGTCAACTGAAAAATAAAATTTCAGGAATTAACTTAAATTTAGATTAAGAATTTTAAAACTCAGATTGTCCATAATAAATAATATTTATCTCTTAATAGCAGTAAAATAATATTTAACAAATTTTAAATATGTTTGTAAAGCCTAAGTTGGAGTTTGCTGTTGCCTCTGGTTATTCTCCACAAGAGAGTTTCTAAACATGCCCAAACAAAATTTGTCAAGGGAATTTGGTGAGATTAAACCAAGGGAGAGTTGCATGAATGAAAGCAAAAAATCTTGGACAACATCAACACAAAAATGGGATATTCCCCCTTCCATCTGTGCACAAAAAACTTGATAAAGTGGTCAAAACATGGCAGGATCAAAAGAAGGAACAAGAAACAAAATTAAAACGACCAAGATTTGAGTTTGTGGAATAAGAGCAATGAAACACAACGGTGAGGTTGTTGTTGTTTGAAAGAAAATACGGCTAGGGAATCCATTTTCTTCAAAGAGTTTGGCAAGGTAAGGCTCCACCATCTTAAAACTATATAGCATTTTCAATTTATCACATAGAGACACTCAATTGTGCATTATTCTCTAATCTCTAGCACACAACACAAACTATTTTGAATCGAACCTCATGAAAAAGCTGGAGTTATCTTGTTTAGATACAAATTTAAAAGTGTTTTTAAGAGTGTTTTTCAGTCAGAAGAAGTTTTTTATTTTCGGTAGAAAAATTCTTGAGAGCTCTTCTAAGCTTGTAACCGACCACACTCTTAGTTATCTATTGAAATTGCTTTACATGAAACACAGTTGGAAAAAAAAAATTGAGAATGAAAGGAGTTTCAAGGGGGGAAATGGTGGAAGAAGTGAAGAAGCAGGTGTGGTTAGCTGGTCCTCTCTTCACTGTTGGTGTGCTGCAGTACAGTTTGCAGGTGATATCTGTTATATTTGTTGGTCATCTTGGTGAGTTGCCACTTTCTGCTGCTTCACTTGCCACTTCCTTTGCATCTGTCACTGGTTTCAATTTGTTGGTAAGGAGGTTGCAACACTAAATTTGAGTATCTATGTATATCCAAAGAGTGTGAGTCTTAATGGAACTTATTTTTGTTCACATCTATTATTTGTTTAAGGAGAATGCTAGAGACACTCTTTCTAATACTTTTTTTTTGTTAGTTGAAATTTATTAGAAATCACAAATTTTGTTGGTCTCACGTGTCATTCTATGGTCTCTCTTCTGATTTAATGGTAGAGCTTACTAATTTGTGATTTTCAGCTACCAATAAAAGAGTATTAGTCGGAGGGTGTTGCTAGACTTTTTCTTTGCTAACTCTAAACTGAGAGTAGGCAATTTAGTTTTGCTGAATGCTGATTACTTACAGATGGGTATGGCTAGTGCATTGGACACCTTATGTGGTCAGTCATTTGGGGCAGGGCAGCACCATATGCTCAGCATACACATGCAAAGAGCTACCTTTGTTCTCTCAATTGTAAGTGTCTTTCTAGCAATCATGTTGGTATTCACCAAACACATTCTAGTTGCCATGCATCAGCAAGTTGCCATAGCTGAGGAGGCTGGGGTATATGCCCTTTACATGATTCCAAGCCTTTTTGCTTATGGTATCCATCAATGCCTTCTCAAGTTTCTACAAAGTCAAAACATTGTCTTCCCCATGGTGCTGAGCTCTGCAGTGGTGGCTTTGCTTCACATCCCTTTGTGTTGGGTGTTCGTATTCAAATCAGGACTTGGAAGTAAGGGAGCTGCCATAGCAAATTCAGTATCATATTGGTTTAATGTGCTGCTGATAGGACTTTATGTGAAGTTTTCTTCCTCGTGTGCAAAATCATGGACTGGCTTCTCAAAGAAGGCCCTGAAAAATATCCTAGAATTCCTTAAAATTTCCATTCCTTCAGCTTTTATGCTTTGGTACATTCTTGAACTTGAAGTAATTAACATTCTCATTTTCATCACTACTAAACACTGGCACAGTAGCACCCCCTTGATGCATGAATTCATTCATGTCCTAAAATTACTCTTATCATATTTCTGATTCAGTTTAACCCTACACATGGACAGCTTAAAGGTTTGGACATTTGAACTAATGGTTCTTCTATCTGGCCTTCTTCCAAATCCACAGTTAGAAACTTCAGTGTTGTCTATATGGTTAGCACTTGGCATAAATGCATAAACCATTTGCTTCCCCTACCCCTCACAATATAACTGCTCTTCTTTGAGGCTGAACGCTGATCATATTAATATTTAGTGTGACATTTTGTGTTTTCATTTTTCAGTCTTAACACATTTGTAATTGCCTGGATGATTCCCTTTGGATTAAGCTGTGCTGTGAGGTACCTTCATTCTCTGCATTTCTAAACACTCTTTCATTATTAAATGTTTTTTTTTTTTCAATCAATAATAGCATTTGAGGAGCATATGACATGGCATAATGTTGAACTATTGAAGCAACTATGGACCTATTTGGATAAACTAATTTTTAACGTCTATTTGGATATAATTTTTTCAAGAAATTAAATGAGAAATTTTATACAAATTAACTTATATATAAACTAATTTTAATTTATGTAGAAATATATTTCCTTTTTTCTTCCTAAAACTATTTTTAAAGAAATTTATCAAAACAGACCGTATATGGTATGTATTATGTATAAATAAATTGTCCCTTTACAGCACAAGGGTCTCAAATGAACTAGGGGCTGGTCATCCACAATCTGTAAGTCTTGCAGTTAGAGTTGCTCTCTTCCTTGTCCTTGCTGAGGGCATTATGATGGTATTACTCATGATCCTGCTAAGAAAAATATGGGGCAATCTTTACAGCAGTGAAACAGAAGTTATAAAATATGTAGCAGCCATGATGCCTATTCTTGCTATCTCCAGCTTCCTTGATGGGATTCAAAGTGTTCTTTCAGGTATCCATATCTATTTCCTACATAGTTCCTTTATATGTATTTCCTGACTCATTTTATTTGTAATTTTTATCATATATTTTTTCCCAATAATATCCTTAAGAAATAAATGTACTAGGAGTGTTTGTTTCAAGGTATAATATTGTATTGTATTTCTGAAAATCTCATTCCTGAAAATGTTATACCGAATAGAATGTTATTCTCATGAATATGTTTGGTTAACATATAATAATTTTAGCAAAATATTTTTTATTTATTTAAAAAGTAAAAATAAATAAAGAAACGTGGAATAATAAGTGGAAAAAGGTAATTATTAAAAAAAAAAGTAACTTTCATTCCATGAAAATTTAAGATATCCATCTTTCACCATGAGAATGACAAATATATCAAATGTGAAGGTTTTACATTCCTAATAATAAATTGTACCTGAAACATCCTTTTATAAACTACTAAACATGGGAATGAAACATCCTTTTATAACCTACGAAACATGGGAATAGATAGTCCCACTTCTATATTTCCAAGAATAGAAAAATATAATTTGAAACAAACCGCTCTTAAACATCCTTTTATAAACTACTAAACATGGGAATGAAACATCCTTTTATAACCTACGAAACATGGGAATAGATAGTCCCACTTCTATATTTCCAAGAATAGAAAAATATAATTTGAAACAAGCCGCTCTTAGTAGAAATATAATTCTTAATATATTTTTATAGTTCCTCAATTTGGGATAAATTTATATTTTTCCTTTACTCTCAAGACCTCTAGTATCATTACTTATAGGGACAATGGAATCATCTGTGTAATATTAGTTGAGTTTAATATATACTTTTATTAAAAAATGTTAATAGATAAGTTTTGTGTGATAAATTCAGTAATAAATGAGTTCTATTTAACAGATTCATTAATATTTGAGTACACTAAAATAAGTTTTTTTTCTCTCAAATTTTATGGATTAAAAATAATTTTAAATTTAAAAAAATAAATTTACCTCATATTTAAGAAAATAAAAATATATTTATTTATTTTATAATTATACAATGTAGTTAATAAAAATATTTTAGTCCGACAAAATTATTTTTGGATTTGTTTGTTTAATTTTTTTTCCCTCTAAAAGTGCTTCTTTTTAATAAAATAAACACTTTTTATATGTTTTTCTAAACTTTTTTTTAAATAAGCAATTTTCTTCTTTTTTTTTTTAAGAAGGAACTCTTATATGTTTCTTAAATAATTATTTTTAAAAAAATACTTATTTAGAAACACTTATTTTTAAGTTTAAACAAATTGGCTTTATTGGCACAATCAATTGTTTTCTTAATGTGTGTAATAACTCATTTCCATGTAATGAAAAGGCTTCCTAATTAGCTAGGAAGTACATAAATTTCATATTTTATTTCAGAACATCCATTTTTAGTTATGATATTGATAGAGTGAATTTATTGGTGGTGGTGACAAGGCATTGCAAGAGGTTCTGGTTGGCAGAAGATTGGTGCAATTGTGAATCTTGGATCATTTTATTTTGTGGGAGTTCCTTCTGCAGTGGTGTTGGCTTTTGTTTTGCACATGAAAGGGAAGGTAAATGACACAATAATTTGTTAGTGGTCTTTATAGTTATTGTAACTTGCAATTAATGCTCTTCTCATAAATTAATTTGGCTAATGCATATCTTGAAACAGGGCCTTTGGTTGGGGATTGTTTTTGCATTCATCCTGCAAGTCATACTTTTTGGTCTCATTACCATTCGAACCAGCTGGAAGAAAGAAGTAAGACACCTATTTGTTGTAGTTCTACAAATCACAAACCAAATGTTGTGCACGTGTAAACCAGTTATCTGGAGCAAATAATTGGATTCATTATCCAGATTGAGTTTGTTTGTTTAAGAAGATAGTGTTTTTGAGAATTTTTTTATTGAAATATTCTATATTTTCAATAGGATAAGGATAATTTTGAAAAACGTTTCTAACCTGTATTTATACATTCTATAATTAAATAAATAAATTTCATCAAACATTTAATCAAATTCAAATAATTAATTACTTATTTACACTTTTATTTGAGGGCACTTTATCCCTTAGTGAGACACACATGTTTGAATACTGGTTTAAAAAAATTGTAAGAGTTATAAACTATTACTCTCTTAGTCTTTATTTGTTCCAAAATAATTTTAAATTTTTGGTGTTTTATAGAGACTAAGAAAAGGCAATAAATACTTCATCTAAAATTATATATAAGGAAAAAAAAACTTAAATTTGTTAAACTCAAATATAAATAAATTTCAAATAACAAATATTCTTGAGACAATAAATGAGAACACTATTCATAATATATATAGTTAAAGATATTTTAATAAATGTAGTATATATTTTAGGTTTAATACATCATTTCATTCCTAAATATTTTAGAAATTTTCAATTAGGTCCTTCATCTTTTTATATTTAGAATTTAGTTTTTATAGTTATAAATTTATTTTCAATTCGTGAAATTTTACAAAATATTTTTAATATCCACATACTTGGACAATTATATTAGATTATTATTAGTGTCATCATTTATATATATCAAAAATATTTTGTGAAATTTCATAAATTGTAAACAAATTTTTAGTTTTAGAGACTAAATTAAAAAAAATGAAGGATCTAATTATAATTTTTTTTAATTTAAGAACCTAATTAAAAATTCTTAAAAAATTCAAGGATCATTTATTAAGTTTATATTTTACATGAAATCGTAAAAATTAACTATATTTAACAATCTTTCTTAATATGTGTAAAATAATTTTATATATATAGAGAGGTCCAGAGAGAGTATATGAGAGAGAATGATAGTTTTACAATATTTATCTTATTTAATTTTATAAAAAATAATAAATAGACAGAGAATCTTAGTATTAAGGGTATAAATAAATAAAAAATATTATTAATACCACCTTGAAAAGTTAAAATGACAATTTTTTTCTTCTTTGTAACAATTATTTTGAGACAAAGGAGTAATATCTATTTCATTCATTGATTGCATATTTTCTTTGTTTGTATAGGCAAATAAGGTAGCAGTGAGAGTCAAAGATACCAAAATCCCTCTGGAGTTGCCTCAGGCTCATGGAGATTCATTTACATTATGAGAAGCGAGTTGATGTCATTTTACATGAAAATAGATTACATTAGACATTAATTTCAATCACCAAACTCTTTCTCTCTCTCTCCCAATCTATAATTAAAATAATTAGTTAAGACTAAAGCTAATTAAACAATTTTGTCCGTGTGAAAGAAATAGACAATTTTGTCTATTTATTATGTATTTGTATAGTATCAAATTTTATTATGTATTTATTATGTATTTGTATAGTATCAAATTCGGATGGTAATGAACTCATTCATAATTCAAGATACTAGATCATTTTCACTCCGTTGTTAAACCAGTTGAACTGATATATATCATTAAATTCCAAAGCTAATTATAATCTATAAATTTCATTCTTTGAAAACATTTTGTTAGACCACTTGCTAATGATATTATCATTCAGAATATTAAAATTCTTATTTTGACCAACTTAAATTATGAATAACTGCTCTGATCAAAGTGGGGTTCGTTTATCAATTACTATATATTTAGCAAATTAAGGTCCTTTTGGAACACACGAGTCATTGTTATTGTATATTTACCAACTTAAACAAACGAACTTCGTATCTTATTTTAATTATCCTATCATTGTTATTCCTTCTTTAAATGAAATTAAATCCTAATTTATTATATAACTGAATTCGAGCAGGAATTTTCTGTTTTGGTAATACTAATTATATTCCCTTTTAATAGTCATTTAAATTTTTTATATATAAAACAAACATAACAAATTTTCTTATTTTTTATAAAATGATTTTAATATTTTCAATCATACTCTCATGTATTTTTACTCTAAAATAAATATATATTAGTTATTAATGTATAAATTAATTAAAAGTTAAGTAGGTAAAATATAAGGATATAATTGACAAAAATATATAAGGATATAATGCAAGAGGTTCTGGCTGGCAGAAGATTGGTACAATTGTGAATTTTGGATCATTTTATTTTGTGGGAGTTCCTTCTGTAACGCCTAATTCTAATACCCAAATTATACAATATAAAATTATAATATTTTCGCAATTATATCATTAACAATATCTATATATTTATTTAATAAAAATAAAAGTAAAGAAAAGAATATCTTGTGAATTTAATACATAACATATCGTTCTAAAATATTTAGAATAACGTATTATTTTACACATTATTCATTTTCCTTACTCTTTTAATACAATATATATATTCATAACGGAAAGAAAATTACAATTAAAATAATATGATTGACAAGTAAAGTTATAACAGATCCATCAAATAGCCTCCCTTATCCCTCCTCCTTTTATGACTCAACAAATATTTTATTTTTTTCTATGAATTTTTCTTTTTATTTTTATATTGTGAAATTAGAATTTTTTTTTATATTTAAAAAAAATTAACATAAGACATTGCAGTATCTAATTTTTTAGGGTTTAGGGTTTATGCGTTCATTAACTTATTTTTTTATAAAGGAAATATTGTTAAAATATCATCTACAAGATTTTGCAGGTTAAGGTAATGACCCTGAAAATGAGAAAGAATTGTGCAATCTTCATCATGCGTCTTTAAGGAATGTGATCGAGAGAATATTTGGTATTTTTAAATAAAGGTTCACAATTTTTAAGTCAACACTACATAACTTTCTACATAAAGAATGTCGTTCTAATGAATTTCCAATTGAAGTAGTGGATAAACCTTCATCTTCAACATCACCAGTTAATGAAGATCATACTTTTGATCCTATTATTCAAATACAAGAGCAAGAGAGAGAAGACGCTAATGCTTGGAAGACTAGTATAGCTATGGACATTGTTGTTTTTTTTTATATTATTTTTGTCTTTAACTCTTTTTAAATTTGAATGTATGAAATTTTTTTTTGAAATCTTAATAAATGTCAAAAATCTACAAAACTTCTACAAAATCCCACAAAATTCATTAAAATCTTGATTTAAAAGTCTTGCAGAATCCATTAAAATCCTGATTTTAAGTCTTGTAAAATCCTACAAAATCTTAAAAGTCATGAAAATCCTGCAAAATCATTTAAAATCCGCAGAATTTTTTTAATTAAAAAAATCATTTAAAATCTTAATCCAATACACCCCTTTATAGTGCACAACTCAATCTTTATATTATAAATAGATAGATTCTAGGTAACCACACAACACAACTTCCCAAACAAAATTAATGCGTGTACAATGAGATCTTGTTGACTGACCGTGCATACACTTTTCCATCAATGCAATGAAATCAAATACAATTGGTGCAATACAGAAATATTACATGAGATTTATTACGTTTCACCAATAAGAAAAATAGTTGTGCACCAAAAAAAAATAAGAAAAATAGTCTTCTACTTTTTTCTGATTGTCATTTATATTTATTTGGTAGTAATTTCATATAATTGATGTTCCATAGGCCTAACATTCGTATATATACTCAATCTGATCAGCATATGATGTTCAAACCCAGAAATTTCATTGGGTTGCATAAGCAAGTGATGGAGCCTAAGACTAACTTTGTGTTTCCACTTCCATTCGTGTTCTTCATTACTCACTGGTTTCTATTGGCTCTTCATGGAACTGCTGAGAGTTCCACTTCCACGTATATAGTCCACATGGACAAATCCCTCTTTCCCAATGTCTTCACAACCCATCATGAATGGTTTCAATCCACCATTGATTCCATAAATTGTTGCATGTGTGTGAGTGTGTGACATATATATGTGCCTATTTCAAAAGAAATTTCATATTACTTGATCCTTGTAAGATTTAAGATTTTATATATTAAAGTGTTCTCTACATTTTCAAAGAGACAAGTAATATGTGTTAGACTCGTACACATAAGAATGATCTTGTGAGTCTGTTTTAGTGCAAATATACTGAATTCCCCCTTGCACGTGCAAAAAATGACATGTATCTAAAGCATTTTTAAGTGTTTCAGGTTACCCATATGAGTGTCTGCCATATACCAATCAACATAAACAAAACTAGTGTACTCCTATGCCATGTATGGCTTTAGAGCAGTACCATCTTCAGAAGAGTTGGAGGCTGTTAAGAACTCTCATGGCTTTGTTGCAGCATATCCAGACAGAACTGCCACCATAGACACCACTCACACTTTTTAATTTCTCTCCCTAGACTCTTTCTAGTGGCCTATGGCATGCCTCAAATTTTGGGGAGGATGTCATCGTGGGTGTCATTGACTCAGGTGTGTCGCCTGAGAGTGAAAGCTTTAAAGATTATGGCATGACCAAGAAAATTCCAAACAAATGGAAAGGGATATGTGAGGAACGGCAAGATTTCTTCAACTCTTCCATGTGCAACTTCAAGCTGATTGGAGCTAAATATTTCAACAAGGGTTTGATTGCTTAAAATCCCAATGTTACATTCAGCATGAACTCAGCTAGAGACACTGAGGGCCATGGAACTCACACATCATCAACAGTTGCTGGCAACTATGTTAGTGGAGCCTCTTTCTTTGGCTATGCTAAAGGGGTGGATAGAGGCATTGCACCAAGAGCTAGGCTTGCCATGTACAAGGTCCTTTGGGAAGAGGGTGCTGTAACCTCTGATGTTTTGGCTGGAATGGACCAAGCCATTGCTCATGGGGTTGATGTGATTTCCATCTCTATGGGGTTTGATTATGTTCCACTTTATGAGGACCCTATTGCAATAGCTTCTTTTGCAGCATTGGCAAAAGGGGTGTTGGTTTCATCTTCTGCAGGTAACTATGGTCCTGATTTTGGTTCGTTGCACAATGGAATCCCCT